CATGCAATCCAGCATTCAAAACGAATAGTGATGGAAAGAAAAAAAAAAAGAAATGAATCTTCCAAAGGAATTTCCTAAACCTAAGCAATTATTTCATTCCAACCCTAATGCCAATGATGCAAACGCTGTTAATTCAGCTTAAGAAAAATTAGAACTTCTTTATGAAGAAAAACTTTGAGGTATCATTATTCATGCACGAGCGTGCTGGTGGGAACAAGGCGAGAAGAGTACAAAATATTTTCTAGAGAAAAGAAACCATGTTAAAAAACATGTGCAGAAACTGAGAACTAGTGGCTTGATTATCACTGATTCCTTTAATGTTCTTTTCGAATGAAAACTTTTTTATCAGGAATTATATACAAGCCAGATTAAGAATGCAGACAACACGCAAGCGACCAAATTTTTCTTGAATAATTCAAATATCCCTAGCTTTACTGAACAACAAATGCTATCGTGCAAGGGCAAAATAACTTCAAAAGAATGTGCAAAGGCTCTAGAAACCTTTCAACTCAACAAAGCCCCAGGAAATGACAGAAGTCCAATTGAATTTTACAAAACATTTTGGTCACTGATTAGCGAGCCTTTCATTAGGTGTGTGAATGAGTGTTTTGAAAAAGGTGAAATGTCAAGTTCCCAGAAAAAAGCAGTAATTACTCCTATTGAAAAGAAAGGAAAAGATTGCTCCTTTTTGGAATATTGGAGACCAATCTCTCTTGTTAATGTCAATGTGAAAATTATGTCTAAGGTTTTAGCAACTAGGATAATAAATGTTCTACCAGATATTATCATCATAACCAAAGTGGTTTTGTTAAGGATCACTATATAGGAGAAACTATATGATCAATCTTTGATTTAATGGATTTTACTCTTAAAGAAAACATCCCAGGTCTAATGATTTTTATAGACTTTCATAAAGCATTCGACAGTGTACAGTGGAATTATCTTGTTACCTGCCTGGAGGCATTTCATTTTGGTCCTGACTTTATCAGATGCGTTAAGACACTGTACAAGAATATACAAAGTTGTGTTATTAATAATGGTCTTACAACAGGTTATTTTGCGTTGGAAGGAGAAAGACAGGATGATCCCTTGTCTCCTTATTTACTTGTGGTTGTAGTTGAAACTCTTGCTATAGCTATTCGACAAAAAACACAGCAATAAAAGGTATCTCAATTGGTAAAGAGGAAACAAAACTTTTTCACTACACTGATGATACGACAGCAGTTTTATCAGACAGAGATTTGGCCCGTGCCCTTTTCAACCTCCTAGATGTTTTCGGGCAACAGTCAGGTCTTAAGATAACTACATCTAAAACTGAAGGAATGTGGGTTCAGGTTCCTTAAGAGATAACAGGTCAAAACCCTTTGGTATTAAATGGAGTGGTGAACTAATCAAGGCCCTTGGGGTCTATTATTCCTATGATACTAAATTACTGCACAAAAAGAATTTTATCGAGAGGTTGGAGAGTGTTAAAAAGCTTGTAAATGTCTGGTCTTCAAGAGGTCTTTCTGTTTACGGAAAGTGACAAAAGTCTTTAATTATTCCTAAATTTGTTTATATTTTGTCACTTCTGCCTGCTCCTAAGGAAATCGTCCAAGAGTTGAACTGGATATTAATTAAATGTCTATGGAAAGGAACAGATAAAGTAACAAGACTGTCCATGATAAATGAATACGAGAACGGTGGCTCAAAATGATTGATCTTGAAAGTATGGTTAAATCATTTCGGCTAGCCTGGCTGAAAAGAATCTTTGGAGAGAATGAGGGTGCTTGGAAAAGCTACCTACAAGTTTCACTGAAGGGTTACAGAGGTCTCTTTTTATTTAATTGCAATTACGATATTAAAGACCATCATGTTCCTTCCCTTTTTTATTCTGAGTTTCTTCAGTGGTGTTCAGAATTCCAAGAAGGTTGCGATACTAAAAAAGAATGGCAACATATAGTGTGAAACGACAAAGAGATACAAATAAACAATAAGCCCATCTTCTACGAAACTCTTTTTGAAAATGGCATAATTTATGTAAACGATCTTTTATTTGACACAGATACCGCAAATTCTTTTAAGATTATTTCAAGCAAAATAAGCAAAACTAACTTTTTAACTTGAGCAGGACTTTGTGACTCCGTACCATTACACCTAAAAACCAAGGAAAGCACTCCCTCAAAAATCTCTTTATTGGTAATGATAGATAACAATGACTTTGATGTGTTAAAAAGGAAATCTAAGGACTACTACACATTAATAAAAACGTCAAAAGCCCAGCTTCCAAAAAGAAAAGTTTTCTGGCTACCGCATAAGTTGTCCTTTGAACAATACATAAAAGCATTTGAATACAAAGTCTTTAATTCAATACTATTTACTTACACCAAGTTATTTAAGATAAGTTACATCTCAGAGGATAAATGTTCATTCTGTAAATCAGAACCAGACACCCCTCACCATCTCCTTTTTCATTGTAGCCTTGTGCAACTCTTTTGGAAAGATTTTGAATACTTCTTCTACCTACTGACAAGAGAATTCATCCACCTTACTCTGCAAGATGTCATGATTGGCATTATTTAAGCAAATTACCCTTTACTGAACTATTTGATACTAGTCGCTAAATTAGATATTTGGGATTGCAGAAGAAATCTGACTCCTCCTATTATAAATGCCTTTAAACTAAAGGTAAAAGTTAAGTATGAAACAGAAACATTTACATGTGTTATACTAATAACATGGACAAACTTAAGAAGTGTGATTTATGCATGGGCTCTGCACCTTTACTTGCAATCTGTTTATAAGTGTCCTTATACTATGTTTTTAGAACTGTACTGACTGTAATGTAACTTTTGGGTAATATGTAGATAGGCATTAGACAAGTATTGTAATGAAGTGTAAGTAAATGTAGTACCATAAGTAGAGTATGTAGTTGTTTTAGAATTGTAATTAATGTACATATATGTATTGCAAATATTATAAGTGTGTGGCAATAAAAAAACACTTGATTGTCGAAAAAAGAAGACATTGAAAGTCACAAAATTGACAAGCTGTATGAATTTTCAAATCATTCAAGCTGTAATTAAATGTTTTAGATGATCAACAGTCACGAGAACTGAGAAGAATTCGAAAAAAAGGGTTCCACTGTTTATTTAACTATATTGTACATAAATACACATAAATACGGACATGGCAAAATGAGGAACAAATAGTTGATAAATAGAAGAAACAACATTACACAAGGCTGGGAGTTCTGCAGTCTTTAATATCACCTTGGAAAGGAAAGGGAACAAAAGGCAGTTATTACATCACGGGGTATTCACATTTGGTAACCCATCCCAGTACGAACCACGCTGAACAGGGCTTAACTTTGTTGAGCGGGTGAGATGCAGTGCTGTCCTTGTGGTATAGTGACTCTACGCTGAACACATTTTTTTTTAATTTCTAAGATGAGAAAAGGTAACAAAGAGAGAAAAAAAATCACTGACACTGGCTGGGAAAATAAAGAACAAAAAAAATGAGGAATGAAAATGAGAATTCTTAGTGGTATTCGCAAGTGTGAACAGAGGATTCCTGGTTATCACCTGATTTACATTGAGGTTGGGGAGTTTGTAGTGACAGTGAACTGGATCCGAAGAATATGTGCCAATTTCTTTTACATAAAAAATACATAAATGTCTACATGCAAATAGGGTGCAAGCAAGGAAGAACTCAATCTTGAGGGGAGGAACAAGTGTTGATGCCACACAAAATCATGTGGAAACAGGAAGCTTACGCTGTAGAAGACTTAGAAATAGACGGAGACAAAGTCATCAAGCTGAACACAGAATTGAGGCACTGCAGGATCACTTAGCTAAACATCAAATAATTTTGCAATTCCACTTCAGGAAGTTGCCATGGTGGGGATGTCTCTATGAGGGACTGATAAAGGAAGTGAAGAAAACGCTGCACAAGATAATGGGGAGAACAAGCCTGTGGTTTGAGTAAGGCGAAGCTGTAGTAACAGACATCAAAAGGCACTTAAACAACCCTCCGATGACATATGTGGAAAGCGAACAGAGGAGGAACAAGTGTTGATGCTAAACAAAATCATGTGGGGACAGGAAGCTTATGTTGTAGAAGACAGAGACAAAGTCACCAAGCTGAACACATCACTGAATGAGAAGAGACAGCACATTTGGCAGAAGTGGAAAAAAGAATGTACTCATAGTCTCATGAAAAGTCACCAAATCACAAGAGGAGATGGTAACTACCCAGAATTTGGAGAAGTTGTGGTGATCGTTGATGAGGAAAAGAACGGAGGGGAATGGAAGATTTGACCTGCACTAAGACACATTAGAGGCCGAGACGGTGTGGTGAGAGGAGTGGTCATGAAACACAAGGGACACACCAGTGAGAGGCTGTTGTCTCTTGTGTGTTACTGGAGATCATGGGAAAAGCGTGACTGATATCTGATCTGTAGAAGAAGCACAGGCATTGAGATGGAGAAGCAGGTATGCAGCCACAGAAGCACATGGTTGTTTAGAGACAATAACTAAAGATGATGGCTAAGTTCTAAGGTTTTCAGAAAAGCAACATAAAAAATGTTGCTTAAAAGCACGTCATCTTCAGTACGCAAGCACTATGACAACGACCACGTGGGTGCTGTCCCTGAGGACCTCCTCAGCTGTTTCAAAGTTCTCAAGAAATGCATGAACAAATTCGATTGTCTTGTCAACGAGATACTTTACATCAAACAATTAACACTGAGTTTGAACGTGCAAATGGATTCTATCCGCGCTAAAGTATTTGTGTAGCCACCTCCGCTATGTAAATTAGTTATAACTCTTGAACTCGCATTTGTTAATTTAATTCTCATTTGTACCCTTGATAATGGTGTCATGAGGTCGCCGAAATGTCGGGAGATTATATCGTTTGTTTTTACTTGTCTATGTATTACTAAATCATTGTTAAAAAATGTTACTGTCAATTTTTAGGGGAGTGTGTCCGGAGGTTGTGTGACACCAGAGTTTTTTTTCAAATGTCATGGATTTATCTTTGTTATCAGCATGAGTTCATTATTATTCAATTATGGGGACCTAAGAACAATCAATCAAAGAATCTTTGTAAGAGAGGGGAAGATTGCATAGGATGGAATTTTATGGCGAACTTTACATGAGCAAAGAGTGTACTTGCACAGCTCGGGATAGCTGGCTTAATATCGAAATGGTTTTCTTTTACTAATTTTCTTGGAATGTTGCTAATAAATGATTACTTTATCACTATTCTTTAGAGTTAAAAGTTTTAAAAGATTACCTGTTTGCATGCTTTAAAATAATAGGCTAGGAAATTAAAGTAAGCCAAGGCAATACAGGAGAAAAAGAAGCAATAATTATCACCAGTTCTTCCTAGAATGCTCATCCCTTCCTTGCTTTACTCCAAATATCCTGGTCACTAGTGCACTGAACAGTAACATAGATGAGTTGCGCACCTGAGGAATAACAATATCAATGTTAAAATTACTTTGAACACGTTTACTTTTACTACAGGAAAATGTCAAACACAGTTTACATTAAGAATAGAAATATGTAGGCTCCAATGCAAATTTTTGTTTAGTGTCATTGTCAGAGAAAAACAGGCAGACCAAAAGATCATGGTTGGCTGTTTACCTTCATCTTTTCACAATATAAAAGCTATCTGAAAAAAAATAAGCACCCCGAACATTTGCCAAGACAAGAATTCGGTTATCACAAAGTCATGATTTTGGCCTCTCAAATGGTCTAATTTTGGGCCACTTTGGGTAAGCCTGCACTCATATTTTTTATCATATTTTTTTCAGTGCCAGATATCGTAGTCAAATGAGTAATAGGCGTACAACTTCCAGGAAATCTTATGTTTCAACACTATTACTCCCCTTATTAATTGACTGAGATATGTCCTTCATCTAAATACTGCAGTTTTTATGTGTTGCCAAATAATTCCACCAAATCAGTAATGAGCGTGACCAATATTTTAGCTACCATAGTAAATGGTTTGAACCCAGGAGTATCAATAGTTTGTATAGTGTGATTGTTTGTGTGAGGGTAGTTCTGAAAAGAACTGCTGTTGGTGACTGACGTTTCGAAAACCTGAGCGGAAGTCATCTTCAGAGTCAAGTGAATAGTGTTTGTCAGTCAACTGTTTTTAACCCTTTCATTGGATACGGGAGAGTGTACATTTTCACACGAGACATCAGACATTCTGAGAAACCAAAACAAAACCTTTCTTTGTTTAATAAGCAAATGGTTAATCAAACATGCTCTGCATTGATCAAGAAAAATTAAAAGATCCAAAATCACTACACCTCACATCATTCACTTGAAGAGAAAAGAGAATCGTTAGATAAAAATTGAAAACTATACAGGCACTTTGTATCTTCTCTCGACTTTCAAACAAGATTTAATGGGTAGCAATCGGGCCGCGAAATCTGTCTGTTATGAACATTAAACACTGTCATGCTCAAGCATAAACTGAATAATTAATGACTCTCCTTACTCAAAATGTTGTGATATTTTGTTTCATTGCGGAGAATTTCCATTCAAATTTCTTAACTTTAAAATGTTCAAATTAAAATTTCGAATTTTCATCTTCCTTCTCATATTTTCATTTGAGAGGATGCATCAGTTCTCTTGGAATTTTTAACAAAAATTTGCAAGAACAAACAACAAAATTTGCCAACTTTCTCTCTCATTACTTTTGCACAGTACTGTACAGTAAACCAACACAATGCAGGATGAACATCTACTTACTGCCCAGCTGTCAGAGTGAAATCCATTGATAGCCACTACAACTCCATCAGATACAAAAGGAAATACTATCTCACCAACTTTAGTTTCACGATATAAGGCACGCAAGATGTTGCAAGCATGAACCTGTAAAGAAAATACTTGTACCTGTCAAAACACACCTTGAAACATAATCAAGTAATCATGACTTAAGTCTTGGTTTACTGCAATGAAACTAATGACCTTCAATCATCTTGTAGCGGAGATGACTGAATGAATACTGAAACCTTAATTAACAAGGGAAGCAACCTGGCAAGAGACATGTGGAAAGAAAATACACTGTGCCCCCGTTTCATTCTAATTCAGATCAAAATCTTGATGTTCTTAAAATCTTTCCCATGAAACAAGGCTAACTGTTGAGGACAAAACAATTGACCCATGTTTTAAATGTTGCCCCACTTCAACAGCAACATAGGATTAAACTAAACATTATCATGGGTGTAGTGCCAACTATGGTGTTCGCTGTCATTAAAATGGATAAACAGTGCACAGGTATTCGACTTGTGTCGAGATTGTTCATTTTGCTCATCAATCCATACAGATGTACATGTAAGAACACAACCAAACTTGAACAACGGTGAAAACTACAACAAAGGGCAAATTAAGGTGATTGTAGGAAAGAAAAAAGGAGCACCAACTAAGCCCTACTAATCACATAATATAATGTCAGCCTGATATGTAAGTGTCACAAAAGGTCAATGGGCAAAACAAAGTCCAAACCTATTGAACCTAAACAATAAACAGTGATCTAAACATTCTGTACCCTTGGGATGCTCCGATCAGACAACCCAACATTTCTAAAGAAGTTCAAAGGTTATAACTGGTAGTTCCGAACATTCTCCAATAAGCAGAGGTGATTCCACTTCATCGGGTCCAAAGTTTTTCGGATCACCTGAACTCTATTAGCAACAAACATTTGGAAACAAAGTTTGTTCTTTAAATAATAATAACACTTTATTATATAGAGCTATTTCTATCGCTATCCAATAGCGCTTTACAATGATTTTAAGACATGGGTAAAATAAAATAACATGAAATAACTAAGGTGTAAAAAACAAATTAAAGAAATAGGAAGAATAAACCCTTATAATAAAAACTTGCTAACTAACTAACTAACTAAATAGTGAAGCACTATTTCACTGTCAGTCCAATAAGTGGTACTCTGCTCTTTGAAGTCCAATTTTTCTCTCAGTGTCTTCTTGATGCAGGTCAACAGAATAGCGGATTGAAACTCAAGCCTTGGAATGCTTCTAAGTTTGACAGGAGTGTTTCTAAACTTACACATGACAAAGGAGCAATGCATTAGGCCATCTGTACAACTTACTCTATGCCTCTATGCCACCTGTCAATTAATGGGCCAGCAAAGCTCCCACCATGTGGGTACCAATTTCCATGGAAGTTTTTCTTTTCTGCAGGAGCTCTTACACCCATCCATACTGTATCCATTCTGGTTGGAACTAACAGCACTAATGCACATTCACAAGGTGCATTAGTGACGCTACCTCCAACCAGAATGGATACACGCCTAACATCAAGGAACTTTAAATCTTGGAAGTGCAGGTATTTAGAAGGATCCACAATTTTGGGCAGGACCTGTTCTAATTGGTTTACCTTTGGGAGTACATGGGCCCCTTTTACATCTATATCCTCTCCATAACCATGGGCAGGAATGAGGGTGAAGGATTCACATTGAGATGCTACCACCTCATCAGTATTTGTGATTCTGATGATACCTAATTTCTAAGGAACTCCACCTAAACCAAGCTGATCAGTTAGCTCGTGATCAATAAATGTATCCATATATCCAACCATATGTCCATGAAGGCATAAGTGGTGATGGTAGAGTCATTCCATTTAGTGATAATTAAAGGAACAATATTCAGCGAGACTTGGGTTTTTCGGGTATTAGCTCCTGCTGAGGTTGATGTTGGTGGTTTGTTCCCAGATGAGGGTTCAGTGACCTGGGCTGGGACTTGTGTGTTGCCAACAGATACATTTCTGGGGTGCTTATTGTTAGTGTTTCTATCTTTGGTGTTTCTGGGATAGCACTCCTGTTGATTTGTGGTAACTTCCCTATGCAAGAGGCTCAGGTGGTGGCTAGCACAGTATATGCAACCTAGTGGTCAAGAGCAGAACATTGTGCTATGGTGAAGCTTAACACAGCTTCAATTGAAGCATTAGCTAATGATGGTCACACTCTTAGATAGTTGGGCACAGTCTGTGCCAATTGCTGCTTCTTCAGCTTGTCTTCACCAATTCAAATTTCTTAGTACAGCTCTTACTTTTTTCTTTCTTGGTGAAGGAGCAGATAATTTTGATGCTACAGAATGTTGGGATTACTAAGACTTGTTACTTTTAACAGAAGACTGGTCATCATGTAGAAGACTTTCGATTGCCTGATTAATTTGCGATTGGTTTGGAATTCAGTGAATGTGTTTGTCATTTCCTCCTAGAGTAGGGCAAATCTAAATTTGACTTTTTCAAGTTGATTTGCTTCCTTTATGCCAAATATGTATTATGAATGGATAGACTTGACAGTGTTCCAGAGAACTTCTAGGTTAATAACTATTTCAAGGGCAGATGAAGGATCCCATATGGTATTCAAACAGGTTTGTATCCATTGTGTTAGACTCAACCTCTTTTAAAGTTTTAGACAGATACAACAAGCTTATGCTGCTCACTCTTTGTTGATGCAATATCTCCCCAAAGTCAATCTGTATATTTGGTAATGGTTGGTAACAAAGTGAAATATCTAACAGTTTCTTGGGTATGTTTTGGCCTTGTAGCTGCAGAGAACATTGGCTGGGGCAAGACAGCAACTAGTGTAGGGGTATAGAACGGTAAAATCCGAGACTCATCAAGACATTGAGACCCTCATTTAAAAACCAAAACAGACCAAGACTTTACTATCATATTCAAATCTGAGCCTCAGACTCTGCGATACAAAAATCCAAGCGCGAGACGCAGTGATCACGATATTCAAGTGCGAGACTTTTACAGCACTCTGTGCCTTGCTCTAGAAGCCTAGAACTGGTTGGTTTCGCACTAAAATTATTAACTTGTTAATTTAGTTAGACCATGACAGGTAACATGCAACACCTATTAATCAGTTTAGTTACTTATGCAATAGTCTCTTTTTTGTACAGAAGGTCACACACTATAATTTAACTTTATTTCATGTTCCGGACAGCCAACATACTTCATCTGAGAAGTACGTTAGCGTCTCTTCCTTGTGCGCACAAGTTGCCAGCGTTGCTTTCTTTCTTCACCTTTTCCCAATGAATGAAGAAAGATGCCCAAAATTGAAAGGGGCAAAAGATAAAATATGGTAAGTTGATGTAAAATCTTCGAGTAATAGCATGTAATGGTCGCTATGTAGCTTATTATTTCATGGGCTTCAGTAGGAAAGCCTGAGGCATAAAATGCATGCCGTTTGTCGTCGTCCTTGTATTTGGTCACCAAATGGGGCATCATAGTCCCAGGCGTTCCTAGCCTAGAGCGTGGAAACTGGGGATGAGAATGCAACAGCTTGATTTATCAGTAATCACTTGAAGGGATAGATCAGAAGGCCGTTCTTTCTTCTGTGACATTTCGTAACTGATTGTGACGATTTTCGAATTCAGTTGTCGGCAGAAACAAAATAAAGTTTACTTTTTAAATTTAAAAAAAGCAGGAAAAAGAGACCCAATATGCGAACTCTGCGAGTCGAAGCCAGGACACTTGATTTACGATGCATTCACTTGACCACTACACCATCAAAGCACCAGCTAATTGAATTTGAATTTTGGAACTATAAATACTTCAAGCCTAACCTCAAGCAAACCTGAGTGGAACTTACTGCAAGCAAACCAGGATGTAACTAACTGCAAGCAATTGCATGAGTGGTTTAACCGTATATAGTGTGCTTACATTGTCTCAGTCACCGTTAATTGATATAAAAAGTCACAAAATGCTTTATCGTGTGCTTGCTCTTTGTGTTTAGTGAAAAAAGTATTGGAAATCAATCGTTTTTGGAACGGGTCGGCCCACGGATTATATTGCTTGGAAGCCTCATAAATAAGCAAAGTAGGCTTTTGTACATTATGGTAGCATTTTTCCAAGAATTTTAGTGAGGCAAAAGCATTAAGCATTATTCAAGTATTAAGGTGGCATTTTCCTTGAAAGTTAATTTTTTTCCACGTACAGAAAATATGAATCAACAAACTTTTAGAAACGGATGTCACTAAAAAAATTTAAAAACATTAAAAAGCAATGACGCTTTGACCGTTCGACAGTCGTTTTCAAGTTGAAAAGTAAATTTTTTCCATGCGCCCAAATATGTACAATCTATTATATGAATGCTGAGACAAAAACTAAATGACTAAAACTCTAAAATATTTACATAGAAATAATACAAGAAAATTGTGGCATGAGTAATAAAAATGTTAAGCGATAGAAACAATTTAAAAAAATTAAATAATTAAGTAAATAGCTACACACGGATCAAGTCACTCTGTTTGTTCAAGTTTGGTTGAAGTTTACGAATAAAAAGCATTTCAAAAATCAAACAGTTGAGTTTACTCAGATATTTTTTCAAAATCCCGAAATTGCTTCCAATGGTCTCTGGATTCTTTCCTTTACGTGGTTGCCGATTGTTGATTGCTTATGTTACTCCACATGTTGACGTAGGTGTTGACTTTTAAATTGTTTCTATTGCCTTAACATTTTACTCATTACTCATGCTGCAATTTTCTTGTGTTGTTTCTATGTAAATATTTTAGAGTTTTAGTCAGTGTCTTATTAGCATTCTTATAATTGATTGTATATATTTGGGCACATGCAAAAATTTTACTTTTCAACTTGAAAATGACCGTCGAACGGTCGAAATGTCGTTGCTTTTTAACGCTAACTTTTTTAGTACAGAAAATAGAAATTAAAATTAGTTTTTATGGGATTAAGATTTAACTTGAAATTGACAAAATTTCAAATGCCACTCTAAAACCCTACGTATGAGCATTAACCGAGCATTTTAGTGGGAAGAATGGAGCATTAAGGTGGGGCATTTTAGTGGGGAAATAAAAGCATAATGTATAATAGCCTAAAGCAAAGTTCACGTACATTCTTGTGAGATAACTAATGAGCCATGTGTGAGTTCAAAATACGAAAACACTGACTAAAAGCTATGACTACTGCCTTAAAAACAAACTATGATGCCCAGACAAACAACTGAGATCTTTAAAAACTCAAGAATTGTTGTAAGCAGAACTCCAAAACTAGATGGGGCAAACAACATGAAATTTGATAAAGAGGATAGTCAACGAAGCAACTTGAATATCAAATATCTAAGCATAACTCTTGTGTTAAAATATCCTGATTCTTTCATTTGCCTTTATTGTGTTTGATCAGCTTACGTGTGAAGTATGATTTGATATTGCAGTACAAGGTCCAAGGTCCAAGTAAACACTCTTAGAGCATCTAGTTGAGTTTTATTCTGGGAGAGAAACTTTCCTTGGTTCCCCTTGGTCATCAAATTGTAATAGATTCTTTTCTCTATTGTCCAACTGAAATTTTATACTTTCCCTATTGTGATCTGTTTATAGTTGTTGAAATGTCAAACAACTTGGTTTCTGTTTGAATATTGACACAATTGACACAAGTTGTTCAAAGACTAGAAGCCAAGCGTAATAACCTCTTCTGTAATAACTAATGGCTGGTCTTCTTCGCAATCAACTCACATTGTCATGTGGGAATCTGGCAACAAGCCTGAGTTCCTGGAATGTTAACTTACCTGAGAACTTTTTGGTAAAAGCTTTGCAATTCAATTTACCCAGTTTGAAAGCGATTTGTACTTCAAAGTTGTGATTGTGCTTACCTGACAAAAGAAAGAAAAGTCTGGGCAAGATGCATAATGTTGGTATCAGATTCAGAGCTGCCATAAATGATAAATTTGATATCCGCGTGCCTCCATTTTTTGTTGTTGTGAAACCTTAACAAAGCTAACACGAGGAAAGGTGAATGATAACCAACGATCAATCACGAAGCATAAATTATACAAACATTCTCAAAAAGCTTAAAATGTACCCCAACACATACACTCTGACCTCAGAACTCAAAAGCCAGTGGCATTACCAGACACAGCAAGCTCTATGTAAAGTTCCAAAAGTAATAACTCCCAAAATAAAGTGACGTCAAAAAATTTTGGCTGCTAATACATCCCAAAAGTAGCAAGTCCCCCCCCCCCAACCAAAGTTACAAGCCTAACCCTAATGTAATCCCCCCAAAAATAGTGAGACCAAGGTTCAAAAGTATTCCTATTTTTCCAATCAAAAGTGAGTCAATAGTCAGGTGAAAGTTACCGTATGGTAACTTGATTTAGGCACTCTTCAACAATGGAGGGTATTGCTTATACCATGAAGCATGGCAGATTGTCAATTTGTGCTTTACCAGTTAATGTTGTGCTGTGTTAAACTCGCAAAAAGCTGTAAAATTTTCCTCAAGTAACAGGTATGCAATAACAGGAACTTATTATTATTACATTCAAAGCCCAGCACCATTTTGAGATCCAGAAGTAATTTGCCCTCTTTCCTCTAAGGCCTTAGCCTGTCTAGGTTAAGGTCATCAATGACAGTCACTACGTCTCTTTGAAGTGACGCCCAAGTACAAATGATTGTCGTTCAGTTCTTCCCCTAGCAATTGCTGGTATGCTCCCACTAATGGTGTAGGTGATCAGTAAAGACCAATTATTATCGCGTTTATCTTCCCAAATTTCATGTCCAACACAATTGGCTCTAGACACTAGTAGTGATGATCAGGTTCTAATATCCTACATGGGACTGCCATAGAGATGAGAGCCAACATACCACTGCCAACCAGTCAGCTGGTGACTGACGTGAACTGCATTTACATATGTTAAACGCAGATACTTGTTACAGCAATTTAAGTGACAATGAGAGGACCAAGTATTTACTTAGAGCAGACAATAAAATTACATCCAAAATAATAGGTAAATATATCTATTTAATGTTTCAAAAAAGAAAGAGATTCTTAATTCACAAATGTAACAAGCGCTATGAGTTTTCCAATTAATTTTATATGGCTATGGTAAATGTTTCTTGCATTTTCATTAGTTAATGTTAAAACCTCTTTTGTAACTAGACCAATACCTCCCTTTGAAGAGTAAGGTTCAAAAAAGATATACTATTACTACTACTATTTACTCATTGACTCACTGACTCACTGACTCTCTGACTCAATGACTTAACTGTAACCCACACAGTAATGGATGTAAATTGCAATCACAAAGCTCCCCCTGAATTAAAGATGGAGGAAAAATGTTTGAAAGAAACAACTTAAAGTAGCTAGCTAATGGATACACTGCACCTGTGGAAGAGTAGAATCACAATTACTGACATCCTTGGTGGGTCTAGATGCTATCTTTAACAGCTCTAGGAGAAAAAAAAAGAGGCAAATTTTACTAAGTGCCATAACTTACTGAAACAATAGGTGATACTATAAGAATACAAAAGACATTTAATATCCTACACTGTTTCGCGTTACAATGTGCACAACCTGACAGTAAGCAATCATACAACCCGCTGTTGCTGGTGTAATTTGCTGTGACATTTAGTGCTCATGGATAAACAGTTACAACTAAGGTAATTGAATTACCAATCATGACTTGTTTGAAGCATGCCCATCCAGATGCTGATGGTTCAGTTGTCACAATAGCCTGCAAAACAAATAAAACATATTCTTTATCTACATCTACTACCTTTATATTACGTATGATTATGTTAAAGGTATTTGTTGGAACTCTGATAAGACCCCACCAACAAAGAAGACCTTTACATCTGAGAAAGAGGACAATGCAGCCAAATGGTTAGATTACTGGACCTGAAACCCAGAGGTGGCTTTCTGAGCACTACTTAAGAAATGGTAAACATGCAGCGTGCACCATTGACTTATGGATGCATGTAGGATGTTGCTAAGGAGGAAAGAAGTGTAAGAGTTGTACAAGTTGATAACTGAGTGAAACTCTAGCTTCTCAAGAGTGCCTGCCTGTAAAAATCAGACAAATTCTTAATTTTGTGGCAAGGGTCAAATATTTGATTTTGCTCATATTCCTGTGGTACATAGGTTAGGGTATGACAAAAACTACTGGATAGTTTTTTTTTGGCAAAATATCCTTTTACTTCAAATAAATATGCAAATTACCAAATTCTGTTAAAATTTTCNGCCTGAATATTGACGTTAGAAAGGAGAAGGAAGACTCAGGGCTGAGTGCAACAGAAACAAAAATTGTGTTCGTAAAAGACCACCTGAATTTTAGCAGCCAATGTTCACCTTGAGGAATCTCTTTAAGATAAATGGCTGAGGGATAACCATATTACTGTAAATATAATCTGTTACCTTCACAGTCTGCTTGTATCTGTTTTTTTTTTACGAGTTTTAGTTTCCAAACCTATTTCTCAACCGCATTAATCCTCAAAGGAGCAAAGAAAATGTGGCATCAAAAGAACTAGACATGGCATTTTATAAATTTGAGTGAACAGCTCGTATTCATATGATAGGCTTTCACAAGTGGAGGAACATGATTATGAAGTTGAAATTAAAAAAGTCAATTTTCTTTGTAAACTTTTCTCCTGAAGCTATCGTTCATTTAGTTCAAAGGGCACTGCTTACTTGTAAAGTAAAACAGAAAATTACACCCCTCGCTCTCCAGAACCTTGTGGCAACATGCTAAAATTAGCAAGTAATGAGCAAGTAAGCCAAACAAATGGGAGCATTCGTCCTTCGTTGGGATTTGTGATTGGCAGGCTGAACACCTCGGCCTCATTATATAGGAATGCTCTGTGTTTAATAAAGAAATAGACTGATTGTTTAATTTGTAATTATCATTTGACCATAGTTCTTGTTCCTCAGATTCTTATACAGATTAAATAAACTGGATACAATTCACTAAATTCTTGTTTGGGTGTCTGCTGCTAAATTCCTGGGCACCTTGTAACCTGTTACTGTAACTGTTGCTATGGCACGGAATCAATTTTTTTAAGTGATAAGCAGAAGCTTGAAGAAGGTTAAAACCGAGCATCTAAAGTTAGATTGCTGTTTTACATAGCTAGACAACCTTGGAAGTCTAGCAGATCACACTGAAAATGAAAATGCTCACCAATCATAATGAATGTCAGACATTTTTTGGCTTAATAATATAGTGTCACTGATTGTTACTGTTCAAAGAAGGAAGATGTTATGTATGGCATTACTCCTAACAAAAATGCATAATTGTACAATTGTAAATTAAACAACTTTATCAAGCCACATAGTTGAACTACTCGCTGCAAGTGGCATTTGCATTTTAATACTGCTACAGTAGTTCTATTTTACTCACTTGCAGTTTGGCAGCGCATATAATATTCTGTGTGTAACAATTTCATCACCTGTTTAGGAGTCAACAAACCATGCTTGCTGTTGCAAAGTTGTATTGGTGCATTCTCAGCAAGTTCCCCTAACAACAAAGCTACTTCCTTCATAGTCCTCCAGCAACACACTAAAAGGATCTGAGAGGCAGGGGCCATCATTTGACCTTCTTCTAAAACAGAATATTGTGGGACCCTACTGAAGTCTTCATTCACTCCTGTAAGAAGATAAAAAATTCAATCCATATCACTATGTAATACATGTAGTTTGATAAGGAAGGTAATTAAGAGGTCCTGACTGTGCATGGATATCAAAAACACTGGTCAGAAAGTTTTTGAGCATCCTTTGGAAAAGTGCCATCTCAAACATTAACAAGTTTTATGTAAAAGTTAAGAAATTGACTATTTTCAGAAGCGAAAAATACTCGTGGGTATGTTCAATATCAAACTGAAATAAGTATTGTGGGAAAGAAAAAACATAACATCATGAAATGAAAGATCTGGGCATTTTATGTTTGTACTAGCAAAAACAAAAGTTTGTGACAAGCTTCTGCCAAAATTTGAATAATATTCATTTTTACGGCAACTTCTTCAACTAAGTTCATTGGTTATTTTTCACAATGGTTGCTGAAATTTTAGCAAGATTTTAACACCATCCATTTCAACTTCTCTTTTTAAAGTCAACTTCAGTTTTTCAACAATTTTTCAAGACAACTTCTTAACACTAAACTAGTAAACAGCCCCTTGCAAGCTGCAGTTATTAATGCTATTTATTTTCTGAGGTGTTTTGTCTAACTAACATAGACCTCTTCAGGGAATTTTACACACAGACACTACATGTCTGAATTCAAGCCATTCTAGTGGCTATTTCAAGGAACACAAGCTGCAAGGGTTTTTACAAAAGGGAACAGCTGTAAAATATTTAGGCAAAATGTAAGAAAGTTTTGGGGGTCATGGTTTTAGCTGTCCCATACCCCTCTCCAAAAAGGAAACAATGGATTAACAAAATGAAGCCAAGGCACTTAATTTAGCTTCCCATCCATACACACAAGTGTTTGAAGGCTGTTGTAACCCCCCTACTACTGAACTGGAGTTCTCAAAATGTATTTCAAATTCCTTAGGGGGTATTCAGTAACAGTGTAGCCAGTGTGATACTTCTGAGCTGTTAATTCTTGCTGTCTTGGTTGTATCAGTAAACAGCAGGCTGTTTGAAAAGGATCCTTAAGTTCTCTTCATCCTTTTCTTTCAACTGTTCATCCACACCTGTGCTAGGGACCTTGGATCATGTGTACTGAAGGCGTCCTTGGTCGAGTGTCGACTGATACTCGGTCAACACTCTATCGACACTTGATCAACAGTCAGTCGATAGTCGGTCAAGCGTCGATCCACTTACATGAATTGATAGAAAGTTTCGTCCACTCTTGACCAAGATGTCAATGGAGTGTCAATCAAGTGTCAACTGAGGTATCGATGGAGTGTCGATCGAGGGTATCGATCGACACTCAAGCATGGATGCCTTTATTACAAATGATCTGGGACCTTAAAGAGAAAAGCTCTGTAGCATCTTACCAGAGACCAGAAATAAGCTGACTCCTTAGCTCCCAGAGGGTAGGAAAAAAATACATTTTAATACTTTTACCATAGGGAGGCATGACTGTCCACCATGATAGCCGATCCCAATCCCTGGTTAGATTTTCATAACTTGGAGAAGCTGGTTTGTGTTTACAATATGTTTACCTGTAGATTATTCTCATCTCCCTACTACTTTAAATGCTATATTTCTTTTTAGGATTGAATCTCTTACAGTAGTAAACTTAAGATACAGAAAAGAATACCTTCATCGTCATCCATCAGAAATCCTTCAGGTGATGAGCTGGTCACTACTGGGTCCGCAATGTCTGCTGCAAGAAGACACTCATTTAAGAGAGACGAGATGAGATTCTGCCATTGTTCATCACCTGAAATGTACCTTCAAGACAACAGTAAACAGAAAACTGATTTGCAATGGTCAAGAAAAAAAATTAGTTTCTGACTATAAATATCGTTCTTTTTTCAGCAGTTGCATGGAAAAATTCTTAGTGTGCATGTTCTCTAGACCTCTGCTAAGGGTGTGCACATGAAGCCCTTGCATGAACAAAGTCATCCAATGCAAAGGGTTGCCTAATTTGTTCAAAGAATTGTTGTAGTAATTTAATCGTTTAACTACTAAGATCTATCAGGAATTCTCTTTTCTAGCCGCTATACATTTCCTTGTAAATTAGTCTAGAAAACTTGGGGTTACATATAGATATTGTAAGGAGCGGTTACATAGTCTATTAATCACTTCTGAGAGTTACAAGGCTACCAAAATGAAGTAAGAATAGGTCGCTAGTCAGTTCAATTGTAGTTGAAGGCTTCTGTGCAAAAAGAGCATATATAGCATTTTGGGCCAATTTTTATTTTTTGCAGGATTGAGCTAATTTTTGGCAAACTTACTTGTTTTGACATGAAAAGCATCGCTGTGTAATTGTTCTTGTTGATTTGCACTTCGTTTTAAAGAAATAACATATGCAAAAACTCAGTTTTCCAAGGGTATCTTTTGGAGATCTTTTGTTGAATGAAAAACAAAAGAAACATTTTGTTTTGTTAAACGATGAAGTCACCGCAGCGTGGTATTTGCTCCTAGTTTTACTATTCATATAATTATGCTATTCTCTTAATGTTGCTTCATTAGCACAAGTGAATCAAGGGCACTGAATGGCCCAGATTTGAGTTTGTTTTGTTGTGACCCTGGTTTGATACGAGGTCGGTGAATATTTTTTTCCCCAGTCTATTTCTCTACTTCTTTCAAAAATCAAAACATCTATTTGAAAAAACCATGCTGTTGAAGCTGCTAAAAGTAACTGCTTAAGTTTGCACCACATCAAAATCCACCTTTGAAGGATTTGCTCTAACAGATGCTGCTCGGAAACTGAGTTTTTTTGCATATGTTATTTCTCTGAAACGAAGTGCAAATCAACAAAAATAATTATGCAACAATGCTTTCCATGTCAAAACAAGTCAGTCTGCCAAAAAATAGCTCAACCCTGCAAAAAATAAAAATCAGCCCAAAATGCTATATACGCCCTTTTTGCACAAAAGGCTTCAATTATCAAAAATGGGAGACTCAATACTTCAGCATTATTTGTTAATGAAAAGTACATCTGCAATGGGTACATGCATGGAGCTTTGTGTTTTAGCAGGGCTTGTTCATTCTGGGAGCTCAACGGAGGGGATTGGTGTTTGTTAGGAACAGGGTACTTTTTATGATTGAAAAACGTTACTCTGGTTTTTTTTTTTTTACTAACATTTTTACATTTTTAAACCAGAGTAAAGTTTTTCAATCATGAATCAACCACCTGGTTACATAACCATTTTTAAAAGGGTACTTCTTACTTAGAAAATGTCATTTTCTGAGTATAGGTAGGACATTGACCTTCACTTGCTCCTTCCTTCCATCCTTCAGTTCCTGTTAACTTTTAATTAAATCTGCTGAAAGTGCAGAAGGATTTGCAGTCCCTTGTGTGCTCAAGTCAATAGTGGTTACGTTTCTTTTTTGAGAAGAGTTTAGATGGTCCAAAGTATGCTTTTGCATGTGTTTCTTAACTTTAAGCTCTTACTTTTCAACCAGATCAATGGAAGTTGAAAAGTGGTTGGTGGGGTTTAATAGACTGATTGGTAAAAGTGAAGAAGAGCTCCCAAAAGATATTGTCAGTCATCTGTCGGTTGTCTACAAAACGAAGACCTAAGACCTAAGACCTAAGACCCAAAAACGAAGTCTTGTTTTTCTACCGGCCTATCAAACCAGAGACAGTCAAACGGGGTCAACGTTTTTCTTCGGACAACAACGGACGCGAAATTAATGTGGTCTTCGTTTTGTAGATAAGCGGCTCGAACTACAAAACGAAGACCCTCACTTAAATGCTTTGTTTGTTGTCATCTGATGCAGAATCAATGAGGTCTTCATTTTGTAGATAAGGCTGGCTCAAACTACAAAACGAAGACCCTCGCTTAAATGCTTTGTTCTTTGTCAGCTGACGCGAAATCAATGGGGTCTTCGTTTTGTAGATAAGGCCAGCTCGAACTACAAAACGAAGACCCTCACTTAAATGCTTTGTCCTTTGTCAACTGACATGAAATCAATTAAGGCCAGCTCAAAGACCCCATTAATTGATTTCGCGTCAGCTGACAACGAACAAAGCATTTAAGCGAGGGTCTTCGTTTTGTAGTTCAAGCCAGCCTTATCTACAAAACAAAGACCCCATTGATTCTGCGTCAGATGACAACGAACAAAGCATATAAGCGAGGGTCTTCGTTTTGTAGTTCGAGTCGGTCTTATCTACAAAACTAAGACCCCGTTGATTCCACATCAGCTGACAATGAACAAAGCATTTTAGTGACGGTCTTCGTTTTGTAGTTCGAGCCTGCCTTATCTACAAAACAAAGACCCCATTAATTTCGTGTCAGTCATTGTCTGAAGAAAAGCATTGACCCAGTTTGACTGTCTCTGGTTTGATTGGCCTGTAAAAAAACAAGTCTTCATTTTTGGGTCTCAAGTCTTAGGTCTTAGGTCTTCGTTTTGTAGACACCCGTCATTTGTCAGCAGACAGTTGGCTGACTGTGGGCCGTTTGTCAGCCAACTGCTGGTCAACAAATTGAATGGCCGACAAAGAGCCAACAGTTTTCATTATAATTTTAGACTAAAGTGTTGGGCGACTGTTAGGCAACAGTCAGCCAACAGTTGGCAAACTGCTAGCAATCTGTTGGTAGCCTGTCAGAAATGTGTTGATAAGTCATCAACTGACAAGACTGTAAACCTTTACATATAATGCATAAGCCCACAAAAATCATTTCAAAGCAATACTGTGCACTGCACTCTGAATAGTCACTTCAGCTTTTGCCTATTTTGTTGTGTTGGCTATTGAAACTTGCCCAAATTGGTTGAATTTCTTTAGTCTACCATATTGAAAAGTTTTAAGCAGACATACATGAAGTATTGTAAACTACAAACTATATAAATGGTACAATAAACATATCTCCATTTACTGTTTTCAACTGTAAATATTTTACGTCAATTTTTGGCCTACTTAAAGGTTACCATGTACTTTTGGAGGTGTCTCACGTCCAAACAATGTAGCCTGTCCAGTTTAAACTGTAGACACCTAAACCCCTATATACAATTAAAGCTTGTACATGTATAGCTGGCTTTCAAACCATACCAAGAATTTTGAAATAAAATGAATTGTCAAATTTTTTATGACCTCTAAATGCGAGCATCGGAATCACCATTTGAAAGCTACAAGTCAAACCAAATTTTATTTTTCGCTTATTTAATTTGTCGCTCAGTTTCTGGACCCAAAGTGCTAAATAACTGAGTCTGCGATTTGCCATGTTCAATTTCAGTGAAAAGTTACAGAACATTTTCAAAATAGGTTTTAAAAATATGGAGCGACTGTAGAAAAATTGCTCTCAGAGAAAAACTATTTGGAAATAACAAATTCAATAACATGTTTTTGTTTTTATATGTCAAACTAGCTACTGTCTAAATCTGAGGGCAAACAAACAAATCCCCTTTGACTTGTAGCTTTCAAAAGGGACCCAAAAGATGATTTGGATGTTCACATTTAGAGGTCGTTAAAAATTCAACAATTCATTTTATTTCAAAATTCTTGGTATAGTGTGATAGCCAGTTCTATAAGGTTTAATTGGATATAGGGGTTTAGGTATCTACAGTTTAAACTGGATGTGCTACATTCCTTGGATGCAAGACAACTAACGGTGCCCCAAAGTTATACAGTTGTACAGTAAGGCATGGTCGAGCAAAGCTTCATGTAATTTTCAACAGGGAGAGAGAATTAGGACTTTGGTGCCACCTATGGTTAGGTTAGGAAAACTCCTGAAATCACCCAATGCCTGATCGTAGTGTTCAATTTAACAACTATTTTGTAACACTATCTTTTTAAAACTCAGTGTCAATCACTTACAAAGAATTGAAGGTGGCTTCAATTAAATGACTACTCAGTGCTGTGTTACACAAAAGCCTGGTTACATAATACAATTAAAGTTCAGATGGTACCTGAATGACATGTAGCCAAGGATTGCTCTTATGCAATACAGAACATTGTGCATGGGGGCTTGAACACCAGTCACATATAAGTTCTTTGAGGCAGCCAAGCAATGAGACCCCAGCAAACTAACCAAATGGGTTAACACTCTGAAGGCCTGCCTACATTGAAAAGATTTTGATTTCATGATGGTGGATAGGTGTTCATCATCTCGCTTCTTCTCATTCTTTTTGAATGTCAGTGGTAAGCTGCATTTCTCCACAAGTAATTTTAGTAACATAGCTGCAGTAGAGGCATCTGTTGCTCGAGGACTGGAAACCAATCTGTCAATCATATTTAGCCACCCAAGGAGAGCTTTCTCTTCCTAAAAAAAAGGCAGACATTTTAATCTTAGAAACTATAGCTCTGATCATTTCCACAAGCTGAACCTTAAATAAGTCTTTTCTAAATCCCTCACAAAGAAGACAGCTTAAGGTATCAAAATTATATTTTGCAGTATTGTGGGACATCCTAATTACAACTCAGGGACGTAAAAATATCATATGAAGCTGCATTTCCACAAGTTGGCTTGAAAGCCCAAAAGGTTACTATTTTGAGCACTTAAGAAAACAATTGGTGAGTGAAAAACCATGCTTAGTGACGATTTGGGTGAAAAAATATTCTTCTCAGAAGTGCTTGAATTTTTGCGTGTGGTCTTCAATGTTATAGAAAATCATGATAATTATAACATATGGCTGGGCATTCTCGTGTGCTATGGTTATTTTGTTCAATAGAAGGTATTAGATTTAATATTAATAGTTGTTCTTTATTATGCAATGATATATTTATAAATTGGTGAGCAGAGGGAATTTATAGATGAATGTATCAGAAGAAGGGAAAAACTGATGCCTCTTCACGATTTAGGACTATTACTTAACTACCCTTTGTGCAGTAAAATATCCGCTAGGGGAATCCTGAGAGGGGAATCCCAAATGACACTTCACGAACCATAAATGACACCTCCCACGTACCTCCCAAATGACACCTCAAGTACCATGGAATTTCGGTCGAAGCTGAAAATTGTACAGAGAGCAATAACAACTTTGTGAAGATGAGAAGTACAATGCTCCACTTCATTGACTATTTTGCTTCCTTGCGGTACACCGTTATTTGTGACAAATCAGGAAGAATAAGATGTCCCGAGACTGGCTTTTCTTTGCCATGGAAAAAGTCTGAATCAGTGAAAAAGGCTCCTGACACACACTGAAATCGTTGTGTTTCATGGAACATGATACTCCCGGATTTATCCGTATTCTCAAAGAATATGGGTCCGCATTGTGTGATTTTTGGGCCACGACACTTGCTATTTCATCCAGTGCTAGTCTCCGCTTTTTTCGCTCAAGCGAATAGCCCCCTTAATTGTCAGATGGCAGAATTCACTTTGGTATTTCTAAATGCTCTATAACATTAACCTTTTAACTGCATGGATGTGAAGTGCTTTCAAATTGTTCAATGCCTACTTCACACTGAGTTAATGTGACTGGTAACATCATCACACCCAGTTTGCAGAAAATATATATTTCATGGTAGAACCCTTCCAGCCTTCAAATGACAAAGGTATTTGACATGCAAATTTTTCAGGAAGGTTCTTTTTATAGTAATATTATCTTTAATTATCATTTTTAGTATTATTAATATCATCATCATCATCACTATCATTATTGTAAATAAAGGATAAGATAACCTATCAGACATCAGGAATAAAGCTATTGTATTTTATTGTAATATAAAATATATTAAAATTATAAAATATCTTAACATTTCTATGTACCAGGACAATATTTTCCCCAGCAAACTTTCTTCATTTGTAAGGGTTTACCAAAGTGCTCAAAATGGGAATCTTTGGGCTTTCAAACTGACCTGTGAAAAGGCATCCTCATACAACATTTTTCAATAAGGATGTCCCACCTAACTTAGAAAAACAATTAATTTGATACTTTAAGTGCCAATTTTCTTCAGAATTTAAATGGCAGTGGCCATGACACTTTCATGTTTTGGTGGATTTGTTGTTATTTTTGTAACTTGTGGTTTACCAAAGGAATTCTCCTGATCAAATAAGAAGCATTTTGAATTTTCATTTTTGATGTGAGTTCTACAGTCAGCTGCTCTAAATTATTTCTGTCTAGTGGAGCTTCAAAGTCTTTGTATGGGTGGCTAAAGGCTGAAGACCCTGGGGTCTGAAGTCCACTTTACTGGTTTAAAACAAACCTGAAATGGAAGTAGCTCAGAAGGTGTTGCCAGAAGTATGTTATAAGCCAACAACTTGTTTATTTCATAGGAGTCACTCAAACTATCCAGAAGAATGTAGATATTATCTTGCGTCATCACATCATTGATCTGAAAACCCAAGGTAGCAGAATCTACAGAGACGGAAAAAAAGAAGCTTCAGGTACATTCATGTGGCAATGATGACCAGTGCTTTAATAAAGGGAGCGTTCATCATTATTTTATTACCACCAGGTAAGGTCCAAATGACTGGGTTCTGAAAAATATGTCCATATTATGTAAACAATGGGCCACTTCAAAGTAATACTGATAAATTTACATGTAATGCATTTACATGCAGTTATTGCTTCAAACTTATATTACAAATTGATTAACCCATTGATGCCAGTGCTGGCCGTAAATGGCTGTGCGAAGACTACCCCCCAAATGCCTGTGCTGGCCAGAACTGGCCGTAAAAAGCATGTGAGGACAATTGCCTTTCCTACCATCCCTGAAGACTTTTTGGTTCTCCTACTGTTCTTTTGTTTTAAAGGACAAATAAACCAATGAAAATGGACTTTCTAAACATATTTTTAGAGGACTTTAGGGGTCCTAAAGTCTTAAAATCATGTGCTCAAAAAGTGCAGGTAATGACGCGTTGTGGGCCAAATCTACAAACTCTAAATGTCTTCTTTTTATTCCTAAAATAAAGAAATCACTTCTTTGGGACTTAAAATGGAAAGGAAAAACACAAATCAATGTTTAGGTGGCCTCAGAATGGAAGATCATCGGGTACAGAGTCCTCAAAACTTTCTAGTGAAGAATTTTTCCTTCCTGCAACCGCCGCGAAAACATGACGATCAGTGCACTTTCAAGCGCTTTTTGAATTCTAATTGCGGATGTAGAGCAGCTTCCTGGACTTTAGAAAACAAAAATGGCAATGTACATTATTACTTTGAAGTTGAATTCAACTTTTGGAATGATTGGTGAAGCCGGGGCGTTGAAATGACTGCAAAAGTGGTTGGCAAAAACTCAAGCTTTCCCTTTAGCGCGAAGAATTAATTTCAACACGCAGTCATGCAGTGAAGCACGCCTGCGAAATTTTGAACATTCTTTTGCTTTTAAATAGGTTTCTTCACCTCAGCTTGAATGAAAATTTATTCTTCTTGAACTTCCTTTCACATTTCTTTCATTTGGTTCCCTGTATTTGGGAATTTTAGGTTTTAAAAGCAAACAGTAACTTTGCACGCTGGATTTCTGCATATTTAATTTATGGCGATCTCTTTTTCAGACTGATTTTTACATGTGTCTTTCGCTTTCATTTTCCGTTGTTTTCTGAAAGGTTAGCCATTACAGTACAAGAATGGAAATTCTGTCGTATTTGGTTTTGCTTTGTCCTCCGAAATCAATAATTAACTCATTTTCACATATTCAATTTTCTTGGCTCCCATGGGACATCTTGTCGAGCGGTAACGAAATAATATATCGTCTTGTTTTCTTATCAGTTTTGAACATCAGGTTTAATTCCTTTTGTTAATGTTTTTTAATATTCTGGCCCCTCATTTATTCAACTTTAAATACACAAAGTCTTAAAACCTGATCTTGTGTCTGTGGTTACTGCGCATATGGTTTATTTCTGTGCTTTCACTGGCTCTCAAATACACGTATCCAAAAAAACGCTGGGGATTTAGGGGTGGATCCCAGGAAATTTCATTCAGGTATCAATGGGTTACATACATACACACGTACATACATACATTATTTGTCATGTAGGTCATTAAATGGCAGCTAAAAAGCTGAAGTGGACCTACAAACTAAAGTATAGCTACAAAATTTGGATGAGAAATTCAAAAGAAAAGAAAAAGAAACTCAAGAAACTAATGAATCATTTTACAATGATAAAAGAAGAGTATGATACACAGTAAAACTATTTACAATGTTCTTCACAAGAAAAATTCAGAAATTACAGACCTATTTCCCTCCTCAGCATTCCAGGTAAACTATTGAAAAATGTTGGCAGTCAACAACTCAACAACTTCTTATATTGCAACAATCTAATATCGTTGAATTAATGGGGCCTCAGAAAGGGAAGCTCACCTGAACTCTTTCTACTCTTGATAACAGAACAATGGTATTTAGCCCTGGATGAACGGAAAATTATTGGCATAGTCTTCATCAATTTTCAAAAAGCGTTTGATTGCATCAACCACACAGCTTTCAAGGAAAAACTACTTTCTACAGGTATCAGCAACTTCTTTTACGAGTGGCTCTTAAACCATCTTGATAACTGTAAACAATTTGTGACTGTAAATGGTTCAATTTCAAAATGAATGGAAATAGATACTGGCATGCCCAAAGGATCCTCACTTGGTCCTAGATTGTACAGTATTTACTCAAATGATCTACCTGAAGCCACTACGAATGCTTCTGTTGAAATGCTTGTAGATGACACCACAGCTTTTTGCATTGAAAATACTGGTGATGAAGTCTTACTTAACATTAATTAAGCACTGTACTTTTCATGTAGATACAAGCCTGACATATCAACTGCCATTTTATATTTCTATCTAGAAAAAAAGAAATAAAGGTACATTTAGTCTATCCTATAAAGCAGCAGTACATTGCACGTTTTCAAAAGAAGTATCGCCAGAAACCTTAATTTGAACTTACGCTGCCAACTGGATAAGGGGTTCAAATTTAGAAATAGTTTCCTTCAACGTCAACAATCTTCACAATGAATGAATTTCACTAGTTTATATATAAACAACAAGCAAACCAGCGGCTTTGTTTCAATGTTTCCATTGTTTCCACTGATTTCTGGCTTTTTGCTTATTTCTTTTCAGGTTTTAGTATATGCCTCAAAATACTGCAGTTGCCAATTGACACTTTTGTGACTTTAAAATGGACATCTTGTTTACATTTTAACTATCAAAAGAAAAACCACAGCCATGTTTTGTAAAGTTTAGAATATATGCAAATACTAACACATGCTGAGTGCCACAATGCTGGATGTAGCAATACTAGGGTATAATAAAACAGCAAGTTCACTAGCATATAATATCACAGAAGCAAAGTGATTTCTTGCATTTATGGAAGGGAAAATACAATCATCAACAATCATTTACACATGCATCCACTGTGCATATTGTAGGTGTCACATATCTTGTTCATTTCACTTCCGCTTAACGATTATACGTCATAGTGACGTGGTGTCATGCATGAGTGCACGAACCA